TTCATAAAAAAAACACCAAAATGTCAAATTTGAAAATCGGCATCTGAATTATACAAGCTCTATGATTTTTAAACAGTTTTTGTGGATATTTTCCTAAGAAGATTTTAATTTGACGAACTGAAAACAAAAATTTAATAATTTAAAATAATTTCATTTATTGGATATTTAATTTTAAAAAATTGTAAAAATATTATGGGTAGAGAACATCGAGGAAGGAGACAATCTGATTCTTCGTTTCATCATCCATCTTCTCCAGGACGCACTGAACTGTGGACGTGAAATTCAATGAAAACTTTTCATCATATTTAAATTCATTTTCATAAACCTTACAATAAGGATATGGAAAACACTATTAAGAGAAAGAACACGAGTGTCATATGTGCGGCAAAAAAAAATGTTTATCAGAGTGTTTCATTTTTACATTCAGATTATAAAACAAATAATTTTAGTTTATTTTTCTATTATAAAATTTAATAATTGAATTGAAATTTAGGCCAGTTGAATGTGCACAATCTGCTTTTTGTTTACATACAAAAGAAGTGTTAGAATTTGTGCAATGTTAAATTTTTTAAAGCGTTGCTTTTAATATTTGCACATTTAACATATTCGCGTTTGACAAAACTGGCCATTTTCAATGAACACGAAGGTTTTAGAACTTTATAGAACATTTAACTAAACAAACATATTAATTAATTAATAATTTAATAAGTAAGTAATAAGTTAATTAATTAATTAAACGTATGTACGATTGAACAAATGAGATATCATACCGTTGGCAGGAAGGAATCTCGGCTTGGATCCTTCGCCCTTCAAATAGCTCTTCAACTGCCTGGAGCGACTCCTCATCTCTTCTTGTGACAGTCCTCTCGAATACTTCTCAATCTGTTCTGCCATTTTTTCCATTGTGAATTCCGGTTCGTCGCAGTCGTCAGCGCGTGTCGTCAAGACGAAGGCTGCAATGAAGAGGGAGGCGACAAGGAGCAGCTTCATTGTGGCAGGTTCTACCTTTCTACGTGCGTGTTCAAACAAATTTCACTCTCATCAAAATTTATTAAAACGTTTCATTTCATTTTATTTATAAACAATTTTTGTTGATAAATTACATTTATTTAAAAAAAACTTGTTTATTTTATCTTGACTGTGTGCAATTATTAAAGTATGGTCTTTATAATAAATATCAAAATATCTTTTAAAATAAACGTCTCTTCAAAAGTAAATAATTTATTAAAAATTAAAAAATTAAGCCGAAAATTATTTATTAAATATGTGAAAATTAATTTGAGAGAATTATTTAGTAACCTGAGAAATAAGGACAAGGATGAGAAGAAGAAGTTGCAGATGGATGATCGGCAGTCAGTTGGTTGCCTTATAAAATGAAACTTTTGAACTTTGTACAGCACCACCTTCGTCTGATGTCATGTAGTCAGTTGATGTATTGTTGGTGTGGAGTGTTGTTCTAATTTGTCGTTGTGTTGTTGAGTTTCTCTTCAATATTCAGCCTTGAACCTTCTCACAAAGTTTGTACATAAATCAACTCAGCATGATAACGAAAGAGGTTTTATTTAATATTTCGTCTTTCTATTCAGCTCAATTGTTTAATTTTATGAATGTCTTAAATCAAATTTATAATATTTAAATATTTTAAGGGTAAACATTTTTTTATTTATTGCAGGTGATGCAGTCACAAACGCTTGCAGGTCTTAAAAACATTCACAACATTCATTTCAACAATTCAAATTAAGAAGATAATTTTGTTTATCTGTCCAAATTATAATTATAACTTCAAACCAAATCAATCAATTGCCCTACAAAAAAAATTCACATAAATAAAAGTACTTGCGAACAACAAAAGGACACACACACACACACACAAACGTACGTGCAAATACCTCACACACAAACAAACACATAAAATACAAACACACATGTAACATTCACTCGCTTGTTAATCCGGTAACATAGTCCAACAAACATGCGTCGTTGGAACAATTCAGCCATGAGTAGGTAATGAAAGTATATATATATATATATATATATTTAATAGAACAAATTATTAATTATTAATTATTTTTATCAATCCATGACTTAAACCACTTTTAATTTTATTCAGCATTCATTAACGCCAGCACAAACATATAGACCTACGCCAAAAGCGGGTGCACATAAATCATACACTCAAACCTATGGGTGTGGATAGACTGTAACACACACACACACACGCACACACACACACGCACGCACACAGACACGCACACGCACACATACACATTCTGTAGTAACAGACGTGGTGTTTTTATGATGGATCGTACGATTTTGGAAGGGAGGGAGGTTGGAAAATTTTTAAACTGATAGCAACAATTTCATTCAATAGAGCTTCGTGCTGGAAACTGTTCCATTTAAAAAAGTAACATTCATAAGAGCCAACACAGACGTACACACGAACAAGCTGGTGCACATAAATTATACGCAAATTGTTTATTGTCTCTTATAGACACAAAAAAAAATTATTTGTTAAATGCTGGCACGTATAACAAATAGTAGATAATGAAAAACTTTTCAGTAGTTTTACTTCACAAAACACACATACACGCATACAGATACACAAAAACACACACAAAGTCACACACACACTCTCACACATAATCAGACGATAGATCATACGATGTTTGAAGGTTGGGAAATTTTTAAAATGATGAAAATTTCATTAAATCCTGCATCGTTCTTGTGATGTATGAGCGTACCAACAAAAATCGTACATTACACAACAAAAACGCGTACAGCATGCCTGCAAATATTCAGACAAGACTTGTATAAAAATTTGTATAAAAATTCAAATATTCAACCATGCACTTTCATAAATCACATAAAAATATGTATTCAGAATATACAAATCAGACATCATGTTTGACTATGAAACACGCTTAGCTGAACAAAACTGGAACACAAGTTAGGTTCAGAGTTGAAAGTATCTGAATAGCGTTAATGCTAAGCTCCGATTGTGTGTTTAGTATCACTACAGATGTTTATCGTTTTTAATTAAAATTTTAAAAAAAATTGATTTAAAACAGATTTTATTTAATTGACAAACCCCGGAACAGTGATTAATGTGAAAATGTTTGCTACAACAATGTAATCCGCTGTCAAGGCGTGCCTAACAAGTCACTCACTGGCTCCTTTGCCAGTTCACAGCGTATCTTGCTTCTTTAAACACACTTTTCTTCCAAACTCCTACTCTCATATATTTACTATTAAGTATGAAAAATTATTTTTTCAATAAAATATTTCTTCTGCAATTTTCCTTCCACCGAGTGACTGTCTTTCTTTAAATATATCCAACTTGAACGTTATTTAAAATGCTGCACAAATTGGCGTGTAACTGGATTACAGCAACTGGCAAAAATGTACAAATGTATGGAACAAAGAGACTAATTTCAAACTACAATCTTTAGATTAGAAAGTGGAATGTGATACATTGAATAGTTACGTAAGAAGTTGAACGGAGGGCAAGGTTCAATACGAACTGTCAACAGGCATGTTTTCTCGCCGCACTATCACTTTCTATACAATTCAATTATTTATAACTGAAAAACTTTTCAACTTTTAAAAAATTGATTTTGTTTCATGAAAATGCTTAAATATATTATATTCAAGGCTATTTTAAACTAGTTTGTGGCTGATAAATGATACACAGTGCAGATAATTGCGGAAATTAATTTTGATTTAAAAGTCTTTAGCAAGTACACAACTCTCTAATTCATTAGTTAATAATCCTCTCCTTACTTTTTTAATTTTTTTTTTCAGGTTAATTCTTCTCAACTTACTCTTATTAATCGCACTTTTTGAAATAAAATCAATAAAATCAACTTAAGTACATGCGTTCAATGTTTTCCAAAAAAAATAACCGTTTTAATATTAATTTTATTGCGTGAATCTTCATCGATCTCTGTTTTAACAGAATTCATGAAGTTCATGGATGTCTTGAAGGTCACAGGAGTCATGAAGTTCACAAGGTCATGAATGTCACAAGGTCAGAGTAACCAGTAACAAGGTAACAAGTCGTCGCATACTGTAGCTTGATTTTAATAATCATCAAAAATCACAAAGACAGGTGTCCAGGGACTGACCGTTACAAAGAGGAAATCTGTATTGGAGAGAATGTTTTGAATTTTTGAGCACATCTAAAAATGGAACACACGTGTAAAATTTAACTGGTGTTGATTGTAAGATATAACTTGCGTTTTAATTGAATAGTGAATAAGATGTATGAAAAAAAAACTAGGTGATATTTGAAAAGAGTGTGCAACGTATTAATCTGAAAATTAACCAATTTGATAGAGATGAAATCACAAAAATTCAAAGTTTCAAGTGAAAAGCTTGCACGAACATTTTACTTTTGAACTTTTTTAACATTAGACATCATCATAACGGTCATAGTTATGATCACGATTATTCCATCATCCTCACAAACATCACGTCATCACCAATATCTTCGTTTGAAGTGAGTTGTTACAAATGTGTAATATTAATAGAAATCATTGAGTCGGTTCAAAATTGAAATAATTTCAAGCGTATATATTTTTTATTTAAAATTTTTAACGGCGGGTTTGCATATGGCCAGTGGCGGATTTTGGAACCCCGTAAAAATTTGAACATTTTCAAAACATTGGCTTCTCCAGAAAAAATTTGTCTAGATCCGCAGCTGTTGAAGAAAAAACTCTGTTGACTTTTTTATAATTTATTGACAAGCAGTAAGTAAAAAAATTTATTAACAAATATGATTGTTGCCATTCAGAACATACAAAAGGACAAAACAAGTATTTAACAAAAAGGAAACATTTATACTTCCGGACATGTAAATACATTGAAGCGTTGAAAATATTAATAAAAAGTTTGAAAATATTAATAAAAAGTAAGTGTAAAAAAAATCGTCATGAGAAAAATGCTCTTCCTATTTACCGTGTAGGGTTTGCAAAACTCTAAAGAATGAATTCAAAAAAATTTCATTCAATTAGCGAAGGAAAATAAGTTTTCTTGGTTCTTTTCATCTTCAATATGCCCCGTTCTTTAAAGATCGGGTGGTCTTCTTCCAATGCTCGTTGAGCACTTATATCATCGTTAACATTTCTCACAGGAGATACTAATTTGCGAGCTTTGGTGGATTTATCAACTTGAGTCCCATTGTTGGATGCTTGTTTGCTGATCAATGAAACTTCAGTTGTGACCTTATCATGCTCACATGATGACTGCTCTGATGAGCAACCAATGCCCAGAAGTTTGTTCAACTGGCCAAAAAATCCTCCTTCAGGAACATGAATTTTTATATTTTCAAGCCCGAAAGATTCAAATGCCATTTTAAAATAAATTTAAAAAAACAAACTCAATAACTTTTTTAACAAATTCTTTGAAATAGTCAATGAACAATTATGACTGATCGTGTTATACATTGTCAGGAAGATCATTTATATATAGCTTTGACTGATTAGCAGTCATAGCGATGAATACCATGATTAGCATTGTAAATATGATTATATGAACTTTGTATGGAGCGGATTACGTATTTATTTATTCAACATGATCTCATTGGAATACCGTACATCTATTAATTTACGATCGCATTTTATGAATCAAAAATTTTTATTTTAATGAATTTATGATTGTTTCATAAGTTTTTTATTAATTTAAGATTACAGCAATTCAAGTTATTCAACATTACATAATCACTAATCTGACATTTACATGCACGAAGTGCATTTCTAGTCCGACTTCGCTACTCCAATACAACTTCAAGAACTGCAATATCGCATCAACAAATTAATTTGCCTCAACGACATATCGTCATCGTCATCCAACTGTCACTCAAATATTTAACACACTCGATTCCAGATTATTCAAGAAAATTAAAATTATTTCTAACCACGTCATCTAACCTCCACTACCATCAATCAAGACTACAACACGCAACCTTCGTCAACTTAAACATCAAACAATCACTCCATCAATTCAACATGACGAAACCTGCATCCAAAGACAATTGAAATGTTTTAGTAAAATAAATAACCTACCGTCACCGGTTTAATTTTTTTCTATTAGACATTTTATTCCATTTTTCAAATAATACAAACATTTAAAAGCTGATTAAAAAATAATTTTTCATTCTAATTGTTAAAGATTAGTTTAGGTATTTAATATCCAGTGATTGAAATTATTGAAATATTTAGATAATTTTAAAACAAATTAAAATAATCAATGGAGTGCAACAATTAAAAAATAGGTTAGTTGATAGTTATTTTAAAAAATTATTACAAAAGAGATTAATGTTTGAGAGTTTGACATTAGGGCCTTACCAAATTATATGATCCTGCCAGACTCGTTCCTTTGAAGTATTCATCAGATAACAATAGGAAGTTAGTTTAGGTTTAAAAAAACAAATATCCTCACGTCAAGTGTGACTTTATAATAACTACAGAAATCACTTTAGTAATAGCTAGCTGCAAAACAACTTTACCAAAGTCAAACCCATTGTTGGAAAGTATTCAAAACATGTCTTTATTACTTAATCTGATTGTTCATCCGTCAATATCACTGTGTTATAAATGAAGTTCAACAAACGAGTGGATTAGAAGTTATTGGAACCACAAGTATATAAATGAAGTATTGGAGCGTAGTTTCATAATTGAACACATTAAAATTGCTCAAAATAGTTGAAAATAAATTTAATAGGTTCAACAAATTTTGACGTTGAAAAGATTATCTATCCTCAATATTGCCATTAAAAAGCTCATCAACAAAATCTTACAACATGAACGGATTCGTAATTGAAAATTATCCAAGTTACAGACCCACAGAGCGGATATTTCCATCCTTAACAACTCAAACTTTCCGACCAACCAGTGAATGATTTAGAACTGGAAGGCATTTATGGATATGAACGAGCACCAATGAAACGTGGATTCTTCATTCACCTCAATGATTTCAACAACAACGAAGAAAGGAATGTTTCAGATATATTCAACGATCAAATTGAATCAGGTGGTTTGAAACAAATTCGACCACTTTTACCAAGCAACGGATTTTTTGAAGACGTGGTAGAAAATAAATCCAGACTAATTAGCGAAGATTTCATTACTAAGGATGAAATGGGTGAAAACCTAAATATAGAAATTTCCAGAGTTGCAATGGATTTGCAGAGTTGCAAAGAGACAATGGATTTTAATATTTCAAAATTAGGATTAATGCGTGTGAAACCGGTTGACCCGATGTTCGGATTTTTTGAAAACCTTCTCTTCATGCCAAACTCAGAAGTGCCTCAATCTTTTAACTTCAATGACGAGTTAGAAAAAAATGAGAGCATTGATTTCAATGACGATGAATTTGAGCTGGAACATCCAACCTTCCTGATGTATTCTTATGATTTTGTCAAAATATCCACGCCAATACACATGTCGTCACTCCATGAGTCAGACATGGAATTAACTGATGATGACGGTTTGTAAACTGAACTTCGCAAATGCTGTTACAAATAATTGTATCGAGCCGTAAGATGTTTATTTGTTAAAAATTAATGAAAAAATAATTTTGTTCATTCAATTAGCGTATTGAAATATGTTTTCTTTTGTCATATCGTCATTAAAATATAATAGGAACATCCTTTTATTTTCTAACTCCATTATCAATACCATTATTATTACTTCAAATTTCTTGTTATTAAATTATATTTATCGTCAACATAATTATTATTAAATTAAAGTAGAAATATTAATATTTTAGTTTAAGTCGCAACAACACACAGTACATACATTTTCTAATACAAAAGCGTACAGAGCCAGGAATGGCCATTTTAACAATAGCATAACGTTTGTTGCTGTATATATTGATATATTGATAAGAAATAAGTACAAGTTTGAAAAATTAACGATATATATTGTTGCCATTCATAACATACGAAAGGGCAAACCAGAAGTATAAAAAAAATAAAACATTTGTATTTAAAAGAACACAAATACATATTAAGTTGAGAATAAGTAGAAAAAAGATAAGCTGTAAAAATCGTAAATAATTTAAATTTTTCATTTAATTATTAGCGAAGGAAAATAAGTTTTCTTGGTTCTTTTCATCTTCAATATTCCATGCTCTTTAAAGATCGGGTATTCTTCTTCCAATGCTCGTTGAGCATTTATATTATAGTTAACGTTTCTTACAAGAGGTTCTAATTTGAAAGATTTGGTGGATTTATCAACTTGAGTCCCATTGTCCCAAGTTTCAGTCGTGAACTTATTACGCATACCTGATGACTGCTCTGATGAGCAACCAATGCCCAGAAGTTTGTTCAACTGGCCAAAAAATCCTCCTTCAGGAACATGAATTTTTATATTTTCAAGCCCGTAAGATTCAAATGCCATTTTAAAATGAATTTAAAAATACAAACTCAATAACTTTTTTACGAATTATTTGAGGTAGTCAATGAACAATTGCGACTGATCGTGTTATACATCGCCAAGAAGATCATTTATATATAGCTTTGACTGATTGCCCTCATAGCAGTGAATACCGTGATTACCATTGTAAATAAGGTTTATGAACTTTGTATGGAGCGGATTACGTATTTCAACGGCGGTATTTGTTCAACATGATCTCATTGGAATACCGTACATCTATTAATTTACGATGGTATTTTATGATTTAATGTTTGTAGTTTGTCAAGTATATGAGAAGTTTTTATTAATGATTGATTACGCAGTTTGATATTGCATTTATCGGTTGTCCCATAACTTTGAATTTTGAGGTGGAGAATGTTTCGTAAATTCTTAAGCTGATGCCTTTTTTTGCCAATTTCGTAATTCTCTTTTAGGCGAAAGGGATGTTTTTCACAATTTTTAAATTAAAAATTTTTGTGTCTACTTTTTTTTGTTTACTTTAATACTATATTTAACTCAGAAACTTTATTTTTTTTAAATTATTAGTAACAATTGATTACGTTCATTAAAACGCATCATGTCGTGTTTATTTCGTTATTGAAAAAATTGAATTTTTGTTATAATAAAAACCGCTACTCATTTAAATTTTTGATTATTATTTAAACTAGATACTTTCCTGGATACTTTGAATAAACTAGCACAATCAGGGGTTTTCTTATTTTCAAATAAATTCAAATTAAAAAGATTTTAATTGTATGCTAAAACAAACACCTTTTATATATGTGTGAAATTTTGCAAGAGATGACAGCCACGGTGACGCAGGTAGTTCACCGTTTTAGCTCAGACCGTAGAAGTGCCATGTCTTAGTCGTTAGAACGCAATGACCTGGTACAAATGTTGTCCAAGAAAATTGATGTTTCCAGGTTTTGCGGTGCGTGTTGGATGATGTGTTTGCGTGGATTCAAAACATGTAAGCGCGTCATACGGTCTAGAAGCTCCAGTTTTTGCAACCGCTGTGCATGTTCAGCACAATCTCATTGAAATACCTTGATCCATCTATTAACTTACGATCACCCTTTTCTGATGAATACACGCCAATAATTATTTTTATGAGTTTTATTGACTTGACTTTCAATATTCTTTTAGTAATCATTGAAAACATTTAATAGCACAATTATTAATTTTGTAAATAGATGTATACATGTGTATACAAATCGACCATTTTAAAACCGATTGAAAATTTAAACTATTAACAATTTTCAAAATTTGTTCACTAAAGGATCAAACATCTAAATCATTTAACAACATAGAATTGATCAATGATAAATAGAAACTAATGATGAGCAATGAGATTATAACTTCAAAAACTAATGAAAACAGAGTTGAAATTTGTAGGGCGAACGAGAATACTGTAGCTGATCGTGTCAGACAGCAATCGTAAATTAGTTCAGGCTAGTGTGAAGTCATAACATAGAATCCTAGAACAGGGCATTCTCATAGAATCCTAGAACAAGGCATTCTTGAGTCGTAACAACAACAAACATCACTTTATTGTGAAGCCAGCTGCAACTTCAACAAACAAACTTGGAATACCCGATATAGGTTTGGGTAATTAATTTCATTGTCGCTTGCTGCTACCAGCATCATCAAAATGTTGATCTATCAATGTCTTCATGTGCTGTGAGTGATGTTCAACAAAGGAGTTGATTAGAAGTTAAAAGATAAATAAGTATACATATAAAAGAAGACGGAAAGATAGATTTCAGTTTTTAAATTGTGATATTTCAAAAAATATTTCAATTAAATTTAGAACACTATTTTCACATTCAAAACATATCAACTGTTTTTTATATGACATATAATTCATACCAATAAATTTCTACATATTGAGGTAAATATTTTCCAGAATATCCGCTTCCGAGGATACAAAAATTTATTACGAATTGAAGGGGTTTCATAGACTACAACGGGAACTTCAAAAACGTGACTATTTTACCAATCTTAACAATTTTGACGAAATTGTTGATAATAAAATAAGAATGTTGCAGAAATACTAGACTGTCAAAATGAAAAGAATGGTGAAGTGAACTTCCGATTACTTTTACCAAAGTACGGATTTTTTGCAATATTGGATGTGGCCGAGATGTCAATATCGATAATGCAATGGAAGTATATAGGAATGCAAAACTACCCAGAGATGATAGATCAATGCGGCTGAAATCTCTTGTCTCTGTGAAAATGAATTTTGTTGGATTGTCAGTCAAACATTTTTTTGTTATAGCAGTAATGGTTAACTGAATGCGTTGGCGTATCTGAATAGGTGCTGTTAGAATTTCAACAAAGACACAACTGCCAAATTATAACAACGTTCTTATTTTTAAGGAAAAAAAATACTTGAAAAGTGTCACTATTGCATTATACTTTTATTGATTAACTTCAATAAATCAAAGATTATTTGCCGAGTAACAAAGTTTGTATTTGAATATTCTAACTAGACGCGTAAGTATTCCCCTTAATTCCCCGCAAAGTGGAAGTGAATTTACAAACTGCCAATAAATTTTTCTTTGTAAAATACTTATATAAATATGCAATCAGCCCTAAGCCCAGAAACTCTCCCTCTCTCTCTACTGAAATCAACTATTCACTTCAATAATTTTTAACAAAAACTTTCCTAGAAATTTTTGATAAAATTTCCATCCTCTAAATATAACATCAACATGTCAGTTAACGCTGCAAGTCTTGATAAAGTTGCTGATAATTATTTGCTCAAATTCCTTCGGGAAACTGACGAAACCAGGCTCAATTTTTACAAAAACTTTCCGGATAAATATATAAATGGATGTAAAATAACGGAGAATCAAGTAATATTTCTGTCTCGAATTATTTCTTCGAACACCACCAGCCTACCACGAAGCAGATATGAGCAGATGTTACGATTAATACCATCTAGCAAGATTGCGTACAAACTGATGGAAAAGATGCAGGATTATTATTATGATGAGTTTTTGAAGAACCCCACAGTAGAGAGAGAGTTTTATTTCGACGAGAACTTTTGTGGAACGAATGTAAAAGGGAGGATCGAGCACCACGACTCCTTCTACGTTGACTTTGCCACACACCGCAGATACAAGCTGCTTTTTGTGCCGGGGAAATTTTACAACGACGAATGCTCCATATGTGGCAGCGAATTCGATGAAATGACACTCGTGCACAAACTCACATGTGGACATGCCTTTCACTTCCAGTGTCTGGACATGTGGCTGCAGAACAAGACCTCGTGTCCCCACTGTAGGACGGTGGTCGTGAAACGCTTGAAGAAGACCAAGAACATCCACATTGATGACCAATCAAACGAGTTTGTTATTTCCATACAAACAGAAACATCCTACAAATGATCAAATTTCTTTGGAGCAAGCATACATTTATAAATGTATGCATCTTAGATTACGTCATAATATAAACATTGCCTCAAACATTTGAGGCATATTTTCATCAAAAATGAAATTATGCATTTTATTGCGGGCATTAACTTTATTTTAAAATTATTTCCTCTATTGAACCCATCTATCAATGAACCTCTAATAAAATGATTTTATTATTTGCCGAATTTCAGTCTAAGTCAGACAGGTGTCATAACGTTAAATACACGAACGATTTCGTCTTTATATTTATGAGAAACTTATACATTGCTAGTAATATCGAGATGTGTATGGTTTTAGTTGAGATTAGTTACATATAGGCAATGGAATTCTATAATTAGAAACATTATTTTTCATTAATCAAAAAACAACAAAATCAACAAAACAACAAAACTAAACAGATTAAGAAGATAAAAATCAACAATCGGTTAGATACTTGAAATACTTGTTAAACATATGTGAGAAAGAGAGAAAAAGAGTGAGAGATGACAAAGAGAGAGGGGGAGGTGAGGAAAGTTAAAGAGAGTTTCTTAGCCTCGGTGAATCAGTAACGATTTGAAGAAAAAAATTATCTCATTAATTTGTAATTTAAATTTTTTTCTAACAATAAAAAATGCAAAGACATATAATAAAGTTTAATGAAGGCATTAATTTCTTAAAACCCCCTTACTACAAAGGACGTCCTCTCCAATAAATTTGTACACACTTTTTTATTCGTCCCTAATAAAACGATTTGTTATAAAATCACTGCCAAAGGACTATTTGTTATTGAATAATAAATTCAAAATTTCTGATTTACTCCTGCTAACAATAAAAAACATAAATAACAACACTTTGCTTTTTATTGCTTGTAGAAATAATAAAGATTTTTAAAACTTAGCGTCTTCTATTTTTATGATAACTTAGCTGCATCATAGTTATTATTATTGCATTTACATTTTAATATAATTGCATGTTCGTTACTAGCAAATTAAAAATCATATTAACATCGTTTAAATTTAAATTCATTAATAATGATGTAATTATTTTTATTATAAGCAGTAATAGTAGATGAAGTACCAGGGTTGTTAATAGCGGATTAACGCTAGCTACGTTTTCAGTACAGTTAGTGGTTAATCATTGATTAGTAGCGATTTTGGTACCTTTTAAACCTAAAAGAAAATCGCTGATACTATCGCTATTTTTGAGTCAAAAATTTCTAATGACCACAAGTGTGTGTGGTGTGTGTGTGTGTGTGTGTGTGTGTGTGTGTGTGTGTGTGTGTGTGTGTGTGTGTGTATGTGTGTGGTGTGTCGACGACATGCTTGCGTGTGTATGTTTCATATGAAATTTCTTTATAGTTGCAGTGTTAGCACTGAGAAGTATTAAGTACTTAGTACTTAGCAAGAAGTACTAAGATGAATACTGCAATTAAAGTATTAGTAATATTAATTAAATTAAACAATGTTCAGCTTTGATGCGTAGCTACCTAATTTCTTAATCAACATATTCGGCACGTCACCGATATTTTTAATTTAATCATAGATTCCTTCGTCTATTGCGTGTTGACCTTTGGTTTGTGAGCATAAATAAACAGATTTATTTAGGTTAGTTATTTGTATTTAGAATTTTTCCATATTAAAATACACTATATTAACCTAATTCAATATCGTTTTTGTAAAATGTATAACATTTAGTGAATAAATTCGGAATTCAACAGAGTTTAATTTAACGGCGGTTTTTTTTTGTTTAGAATATAAATTATAAATAAACAAACGTGAAGTTATTTTTTGTTTCAAGGTCATCTTTACTGAAATGACAGATTACGTATCTTCCCCGTCGGGCTTTCGAATGCCAGCAGTCGGTCTGGGCACCTGGCAGGTTGACAAACTTTTCACATTTCAATTTTTTATCGGCCACGTTAAACACGAACGACATTTCAGTCGAATTAATCCAGTGACATTGCTGATGAATGAAACATTAAGGTCGCTGGCGATGTTCACAACGATCGTTTAATCAGCAACAAATTTCCATCAGCAAATTTTCACCTCATCTATTTAGAAACCCTTAAATTGAAGAATATTTAAATAAATTTTAAATGCAATTTTTAAAACATTTTAAACTAAAGTAACAAATTGAGCTGAAGCTCGCATATGGCGTTAAGACCTAGCGATCGCAATAAAAATTTAATGATTCGTCAACAAATGTTCTCTTATACGCACAATAAAAATAGCAACATAATTAAAGGATTGTTAATAAATGGTATAACATTTTTCCTGTCAGAAGTCGTCTCAAATTTTCAACATACGCGTAGAAAGCATTTGACAATTTTTTGAACCTCTCCACTCTTTTTGTTGTTAACATTCAGTTTCTAGAATTTAATAATTCAAATCACTTGCGTCTAACCAAGCCGGAATCTAAATGAACGCGTACTTGGGCATAACTTCATGAAGAAAATGAAAAAGAGGATCAAAGAAGAAAATTGCTTAGCAGGCAGGAAATTTCATAACCCTTTTGATGAAATATGTCAACAAAAGCAAAACGTAACGTCACATAAATTTTCGCTCCTCTAGTCACAAAGTGTCACAATTTTCTGCTTCTCTACTTACCATCAAAGCATGCCATCTTTTATGAGCTAGAGTAAAATAAAATCATTTAAAAATTCATAAGCACACGCTGTCAGAACACATGTACCTACAGCGGGTAAAAAGTGTCTTCAAATTAAAAATAATACGACTTTTGTCACAAAAACTGTCACAACTTTGATGATTTTTAGACTTAATTTCATTCTCTACTAACAAAATTATGAAAAAAAACACTAGCACACAGGGCACACTACGAAAAATTTGTTTGTATAACACCATCTGACGATCGGCAGATAGATATGGCTGTTTTAAAATATTAAAAATTCGCCTATAACCTGATTAATATGCATTTTTGGAAATAATTTTATATTTAGGTAATTTTATTTTTGACAAAATGAATTTTTGATTTGTGTTTTCACAGCTATTGACATACTTCTCAACGTTATAGCTGGTTGTTGTGGTGTTGCTTGTGCGTGCCGCATCATCTGTTTCATTTCAATTTCTTTCATAACTCATTACAAATTGCAAATAATCTTCATTCACACACACACGCAAACTTAATATTTTCCAATTTAAATGTTTCTGAACTGCTGTGGTAACAATTCGTGTCGAACAATAAAACGTAGAAAAATCTTTGCAAACGAAAAGCTTTAAACACAAGATTCCAATTTTTTTTAATTTAAAAAAATTTCTATTAAATTTTGATGAATAATAATAATATAATAATCACAGGAAAGTTATTACTTTTTTGATTTTTCTTTTTATTTAATTTATATTTAAAATTATTTTCACTATTAATTATATTTAATCCTTGAAGGCTAAGCCGAATGAAATCGGTGAAGCAGTGGTGAATGCAATCAGGGCTGGTTACAAACTGATCGACTGTGCGCCGGTCTACGGCAACGAAAGTGAAATCGGATGCGCCATCAAACGCTGTATTGAGGAGTTGAAGATCATTAAGCGTGAAGACCTCTTTGTTACCAGCAAGGTACACAAATTTAAAATACTGGCAGACCTCTTGATTGTTGACTATCTTCTTTTTATATTAATGCTTGTGCGTGCGTGTGTGTGTGTGTGTGCGTTTATATATGTGTGTGTGTTTTTAAAAACATGTAGTCTGATTAGGATTGTTAAAGGCGGTAGTCTGATTACGATTGTTGAAGGCGACTAGTCCTGTGTTGTAGTGTCCTGGTTCGAACTCACAGACAACCTTTGATGTATTTCAATCAGGAATCATCGTAATACTTCTTATAACACTCTAGGTCAATCTTTTTATATAGCTTAATGTAATTCAATATTTTGTAAATTTAAAATTTTTTTACGAAAATCCATTATGCTTTAGCTGTGACGTTAATCATCATGTTTACTCACAGTTATGGAGCACTAAACACAATCCCCAAGACGTGGAGCCGGCCTTGAAGGAATCGCTGAAAAACTTAAAGCTGGATTACCTGGACTTGTACCTCATTCACTGGCCTTTTGCTCTCAAAACATGCGATGAAGTATTTCCCACTAACCCCGATGGTAGTTTGAGTTTTGTTTATGTTGACTACAAAGAAACATGGAAGGCTATGGAGTGTTGTGTAAGAAAGGGGCTGGTTCGTAACATTGGTTTGTCTAATTTCAACAGCCAGCAAATAACTGAAATTCTTAACGTGGCTACTATTGAACCGGTTAATTTGCAAATTGAAATTCATCCATACCTGCAACAAAGCAAACTCGTTGATTTTTGCCGCCAGCACAAAATGACAGTAACTTCCTACAGCAGCTTTGCATCTCCACAAAAACCATGGGATGATAATAAAAACGGTCCAATTAACATATTCCAGGAGCCCATATTGCAAAAAATAGCGGCCAGTCACAAGAAGACAGTAGCTCAAGTCGTTCTGAGGTGGTTAAACGAAAGGAAGATAGCTGTTGTGCCCAAGAGTGTCACCCCATCAAGAATCTTAGAAAATAATCAAATTTTTGACTTTTGTTTGACGGATGAAGAAATGAAGCAGGTAAGCTCTTTGAACAGAGACTTGAGAGTGATAATTCCTATTGTGGTTGACAAGGATGGCAAAAAGATAAATTGGTTTGCGAGCTCCCCCCAGTTTCCATTCAACGTTGAGTTTTGAAGCACCAGTAGATGGGTCAGACAATTAACATTCGTAACATCAATTGGATGCTCATTTAAATTAGCTCGAACCAATTATTACAATTATCATTTATAACCAATTATTCAGTTATTATATTTGAAAAATGATTCAAGTTTTAGCTTTTTATATCTACCTGTTTTTTTAAATCAAAGTTTATTATTTACATAATTTATTAATCAGCTTCATAACAATAAGATTTTGCGACATTTTTGTGATGATACGTTTTTTTCAACAAGAAAATCAGTGCTGGATTTATTTTTGAAAGGCCCAAAAATTATCCTACCGTTTAATAGGATTTAATAGGATTTAGCAAAGTTTTCAGCATATTCATTATTAAAATTTTTTAGCACGTCGTTTCTTAAAATATAATCAGCTTCTTTACCAGGATTTTCAAATATCGGAATTTTAAGTGTCTTTGAAAATGGTATTTGTTGGTTTGTCCTATGTATATAGAATTTGCCAAGGCTTACAATCTTTGTCATTGATATTTTCAAGTGTTTTTATATAAATGTTATATCCCTGATCATTAGTAATTCGACCTAAGGCTTGGTTCTGTTGTTAAAATATAAATGAACACTTTTTATCATACAACATAAAGATTAATCCAGCGTCGAAATCGGTAAAAACCCCAGGCTTAAAAGAATTACAAGAAATATACTATTACTCATTCAAACAAGATTGGTGAATCATTTTATTAGCTGTAATTTATTTCTAAAATCGTTTATGTTTTATTTATAAACTTGAAAAGAATAAAACGCTCAACGGATCCTTAACAAGCCGCATTATTTTGTTATCCTGTCCTGGTAATGTTTAAAATATCCAATCTTTACAGAAATTAAAGTTGTTCATTCCAGATGAGAAAAATCTTTTCAAGTTACTGTTTTCCAATGAACAAGTTGTTAATGTCAGCATCTACATTGCTGATATTAAATTTCTTCTGCAGTTTGCTTTCATTTTTTAGGTACTGTTACGATATAAATGTCGGTAGTTGAGCTACCATCTTCATTAGTGGTAACTGATTGCTTATACCCTGCAGCTACTAGAACTGCTACATCCTGTCTGCACACTGGACAGTTTGATCTACGTTGGACCCATTCATTCAAACAGCTGTTATGAAAGGAATGCTTGCAAGGCAGTTGACAAACAAACGTATCTTCAGTGTAACATGACAAGCAGATATAGCAAGTGTCATTTATAAATTTATCCTTACAATACGGTAGCTTGACCTTTTTAGTAAATACATCAGTAGTATAGACAAGATCCTTATGATAAATATTGCCGCTGAAATGTTCACCAGTGTAGGGTGTAGTAACTAATGAATTGTGTGTGGGTAGAGTTTTGTAAAACTGTTCCTGCATATTTTTCATCAAATTATATTGTTCTTCTTGCGTTAAGGAACGAAATCTCTTAACCCATTCCATTTCATTAAATGGCTTGTCAGCTGCGATAAATCTAGACAATCCCATTATATCTTCAGTTGAAAAGTTGCGGTAGTTGGATTTCTGCAGAAAGTCCGTGCAAAATTGATGCAACATAATTTTTTTATTAATCACGAATTTTCCTACGTGATCTAATACAGTTTTATGTATTAATTTATTTGAATGATACCCCTGACCTTCAGACGAATTCATTTCTCTTCTTCAAATAAACTGATGCCGATGAATTTACAGAAGAGGTGTTGATCGTAGAGCTTTCAAGATGCGAATGTAGAGCTGGGCTATCATTGCACCTATTTATAGGAGGGCTCGTGAACAAAAATAATCTGTCTTTGTTTCAAATACTTCAACCAAAGAATTATTAAGAACCGGTTGTAAAATTGCTTCATTAGTGACGATAGGAATAAAATTATCAACAAATTCAAATTATATACATAGCGCAAAAATGTTCACATACAAAATGATCTGCATAAAAATGGAGCTCATTAGGACAAAATTCATTTGAACATAAAAACCTATATTTATTTTCAACGTTTGAAATTATCTCAGTTCTTGACCATGTAGTTAATGAGTCGAGTTCTGATTGGATGGTGTTTGTGTTAGATGATAGGATGATAAGGTAGGTGTCGTCAGCGTATTTGATGATGTGATTAGAGCTATGAAAAGTTTTGAGAGTAGAAGCATTGATGATAAAGGTAGATGGTCCAAGGACAGTACCTTGAACTACGCTAGAATTAATAGGTAGAGTAGATGAAAGAGTAGAGATAAAGAAAGTTGAATGACTCCTACTAGAAAGAAAATGTATTATAATATTGTGAATGTTGTCAGGTAGAGGAAGAGAGGCAAACTTATTTGAAAATGAAAAGTGGTTGAGAGTGTCAAAAGCTTTAGAAAAATCGAAAGCAATAAGATAAACATGATTATTATTTTCAAGGAGAGATGTTATTGTGGGAGTAAGAGAGATGATGGCGGATGTAGACGAACCAGTAGGGCGAAATGCAAACTGATCTTGTAATAGCGGTTTGATGGATGGATGGTTGAAACATGAATAAATGAATGACTTAACGATGAATTTTTCTAGAATACGTGAAAGTATGGGGGTGATAGATCTTTGGTGATAATCTATTGGTGATGATGGGTATTTTGTTTTAGGAATAGGATGGATTGTGCTGTATTTCCATTCTGATGGGATGAATGAATGCATTATAAGCAGTGATTGTAGAGTGAACTTAAGGTGCTGGAGATGAATGGAGCGATGAATGGAGCGATACACCATGCTGGTAGACCGTCTGGACCTGTACCGGATGGACAGGCCTTCGTTAGCATGTGCAGGACGGAGTATGTGGTAAATTGTTGATGTTGACGACTGTTGACTGTTGTTGTTTTTGTTGGTGGAGTTTTGTAAGACGGGTCGGTTGAAATTGAAGCAAAGTGGGTGTTGAGTGTGTTGGAATCAATTTGATGTGAGGTTAACGTCTTAAATGATTTGTCAGAGCCTCTGATCTTGTTGACTTGGTCCCACATGGCTGCTTCCACGCTTACTATTAGTGAAAGTTTCTGAGTTGAAGTTGATGATTATTAATGTATTTGGTGATCGCTGCGGCTTTGAGGATGGATCTTGATCTCATGAATTTATTTTTTTGGCGATATTTGATGGATGGGCTGATGAATGGAGAATCTGATCGTGATGTTTGATGCTGGGTAGTACGTGTTGTAAGTTGAGTTGATGATTTTATCAAATTTATCAAAACATATATATATACAATATATATCCATACCCATGGATGTATTATATATATATATATATATATATATATATATATATCCATGGTTCAGCATTTGACAGAGCAGCATATAAAGAATAAATTAAAATAAAAATTTTAGAGATCATTTTCATTAACTATCTAAGTTCACTTTTAAGTTTATTTATACTTTAACTCAAAGCCTTGTATTTCAAATCTCACGAATAGGGATCGCATGGTAGGCAGAAAGAGGAGGGTGCAGTTAGTTAGTAAGTAAGTATACTTTGGCCAGTTTGGCTTCTTCTTTTTATTTGGTTTGATTGAAAAATCTCAGGATTAGGACTGATCTCGTTTTTGCCTTTTTTTTATGGTTTAGAAATAGATTCTAAGACTAATTTTGTGGCTCTTTTCTTTGGAACTCTTCTCTACCCTACCTCCTTCTATAACTACTTCTCCATCTGTTTGCAAAATTCACGGAAGAATGCTGTTGAACATTGCGGAAATAGCGCTTTATAAACTGATTAATTAATAGATTAATTGGGTGGCTGGTTGGCTGACTGACTGACTGACTGACTGACTGACTGACTGACTGACTGACTGACTGACTGACTGACTGACTGACTGACTGACTGACTGACTGACTGACTGACTGACTGACTGACTGACTGACTGACTGACTGACTGACTGACTGACTGACTGACTGACTGACTGACTGACTGACTGACTGACTGACTGACTGACTGACTGACTGACTGACTGACTGACTGACTGACTGACTGACTGGCTGGCTGACTGGCTGACTGAATGATTGATTTAATTTAATTAACATGATTGTTAATGTTTAAATAACAGACTTTATGAATAGATTTTTTTATCAGGTAAAGATAACCAATAACAAAAATAAAATCATAATGATGATAAATAGATAATAATAATGGAGCAATAATTAAATAATATTTATAAATTATAATTTATATCAATATCTTAATTCTTATAATAATGATGTTCCATATGTTATATTTATATTAATTATTAAAATAATAATATAATATTTTTTCATTATTAATTCTTTAAGACCCTTTCTGTATGTGTTTTTACATTATTAATAAATCAAAACTACCAGATGTATGATTATTATATATTATTATATATAATACAGTCCTTCGTAGTTCTTGGAGGGTAATTCACAAAACGTAGAATAAGATGGAAGGGGTTTCTACAGCAGCTGAGAAGACTTTCGTTCCGTGGGTCGAGAAGATGGTTGACGTGCTGCAGTCGAGATGTGAAGAGGTTGGCACGTGCACTGGATTCCTCAGAATCATCAACCTTGGCACTGGGTCAGCTAGGTTTTTGTTTTTTTTTTTAATTTTCGTTTCGTCCATTTTATTATTATTTTCGTTTTTCTATTTGTGTTAACAAAAACTGATTTTTCATGAATGGTCGAAACTACATTATCTGTAACTCATCTACTGACAGTTATAATTTTTCCATTTCTTTCATCATTCTATTTGATATTCACGGTTTTTCAGTAATGGAGACGACAGCAAGGCAGACCGGTTTACAGTTACATTTCCATACGGAGGGCAACACTTGAAATGTTAGTTGTATGTACATGTTTCCAGTTGACATCACATTCTATCCTTTCAAGACAATGCACCTGTTAAGTAATTAGCATTAGCATTTGTTATCATTTGATTGTTTGTATGCTACTTAGTAACGTTGGACAACTTACTCTTTACAACCATCTGTTGTTACTCAGACTTGCCACCTTTTTTATTGTTTTTTTTTGTTTTGTTTTTTTGTTTTTGTTGACAGACTTTTTGTTGTGACAGTACTCAGTGAAATTCTGAGTAGATTTGAACGTCTCGGATGCTGTATGCCCTACTCTACTTACCCATCCACCACCACCCACTCACCCACCAACTTACACACTCACAGGGGAGGTGATCTTCAATGCCAACTACCCCCACCTACCACCTGACTTCATCTTCATCGGGGAGGAGGAGTCATTCTTTCCAGAGATGGATAATTTGAAGGTCGGCCAATGATTGTCCGAGTTTTTTTTACTCTTTGGTGTTTGGCGTCTGTTTTATATAATTTGGAATTATTGTATTAGCCATTTGTTCATTGTCTGACTGGGATTTACACTTCCTGATTAATTTTATTAGTTTTTATAGTCAAAGATCCATTAATTCTACTATAATTATCTTGAATTGTATATTTTTAATATTAATGGCATCATGGAAATATTTATAATGATGATGCTAGTGTAGGCTGCAGTGATATTTAATGATGATGGTGTTGGTGGTGAATGGTGACGACGATAACACTGAATGGAACAGCATCTGTGCAACTGGAATGCAAACAACCCTGCCATGTTGTTCCTCGTGGTGAGGGAGCTGGTGGGTGAGTACAGGGATCATCATCTGAGGCTGCTGGCTGGCTCCAGGCTCGAGTTTGAATACAACTCACTCATATCCGATGAAGCGCTGACGACGACGAAGGGAAGTGCTGCCGATGATGATGATGACGATGGTGGTGGTGATGATGATGATGATGAGAAGGGGTCCAAGATGGCGGTGGAAGTACATGTTGCTGAAAATGAGGAGGTTGTTTGATGATGTGGAGTAATCTTCGTTATCAGTTTCAGCCCATTATAAGTTATTATTATTATTGTTGTTGTTGTTGTTGTTATTATCGTTACGAGTCATCATCTGTTATCTTCAACTGGTTGTCATCGTCAATTTTATGTCATGTGAACTGTTTCGTCTTTAAAGTAATCTCATGCCTCGACCCAAAACTGTATAGTTTTTAATATATTGGACGTCTTTATTAATAAGGACATAGAGCAAAAAGATATGTTGTGGTATGTTGATTACATAATTACGTATGGCATCCGCCAACAGCAGTTTCCAAATGTTCTCACAGGGTCAACTCGGCCCAGTTCAGTTCATGGTCCGCCTACCGGTCAACTTCAAATCTCTTCCTCCTGTTTTCAATGAAGTACGTTTGCCCTTCGTCGTCATGAGCATCTTCAGATGTCTCTTTGTTGTTTGTTGGTTGTTTGTTGTCACCATCTCATGATTGGAATGAATTCGACAAACATTGATTGAAGGAGAACCAAGGTGAAGACAAAGTGCTGATACTGGTGACGTTTCAGTCATTGGAGGGGGGCAATGTACGAACTCAGAAGTGTCTGTCACCAAGAGTTGAAGCGTTAGCTACATTCAATCAATCAATCAATCAATCAATCAATCAATCAACTAGTTCAATCAATTAATTAGTTTGTAAAGCACTATTTCTGCGATGTTCAACAGCGCTCCTCAATGAATTTTGCAAATAGATGGGTCTTGAGATCGGCTCTGAACTTCGTTCATCAATTTCACGTGGTTTTTGTTGTATGGAAAAGTTACATAAGGCCTTCTAATACTTTGCATCATTTGGAGAATCACATGCAGCTTTGAAATTTGGTGTCAATTTTTTTTATACAATATTTAAATTAACGCACATGCATGCACGTACACAGAACTAAATTTCATAGAACCATAACCATACAACCGAAAATACGAAATAACAAAATCACACACGCACGTACAAAATTGCACACATACATACTTACATACATACGTACATACATTCATACATACATACATACAAACAAATAAATAAACACACACTCACACACACACACACTTGCAAAAACAGAGCATTCAGTAAACTCGGAGGCCTACCTCCGATCAGCTTTCCACATGAAGGTTGCATCAATGATTACATTTCGTCCATAACACAACACGTCCAGAAGATGGTTTGTATGTTCCGTTCGTTCGCTTGTTCGTTCGTTTATTCGTTCGTTCTTTTGTTCGTTCTTTCGTTCGTTCGTTTGTTTATTTATATTTACTCACGTGTTTGCAAAATAACTTTTCGGATTTTAAAAATTAGGCAAACATATTTTTTAATTAACTCGAAACAATGCTCTGGAAATTAAATAAACTTAAATTAAACCAATTATAAACTTGAGAAACGAAAATGATTGACTGACTGCCAGGTTGATCAGCTGTGCGAATCATTTGAAAGAAGGAGGGAATACATCAGCCATGCTGTATCTCTGCTAGCCAGGTTCATCACCTATGCCTCCTCACGTCCCTTTGTCTTTCACTGTCTAGATCTCTCCACTTTTGTGTTGTCTCTCTGCCTCTTCATATTCGTCTCTGTCTATCTTTTTTTTTCTCCGTCTGTCATTTTTGTTTAATTTCTGTGTTTTTAGTGGTTATTATTTTTCCTTTATCGTCAGCATGATTATCACCACCCAGTCACATCATAGAGTTTGATGCTATAACCTTCTGGAGGGCTGATTTCTTGTTTGAAGAAGATAATGGTCACGTGCTTGTTACTGGTTGGTTAGTTTGTTGGTTGGTTGGTTGGTTGGTTGGTTGGTTGGTTGGTTGGTTGGTTGGTTGGTTGGTTGGTTGGTTGGTTGGTTGGTTGGTTGGTTCAAATAGATTTAGATTTCACTTGCTCAGTTATAATCCTGAATATCATCACCAACGCATACCAGCAACGCAACAATACACCATAACAAACAAACCACAACAACAAACACACCACAACAACACATCACAACTACACACCATAAAAACACACCACAACTACACACCACAACTACACACCACAACCACAAACACACCACAACAACAAAACTCAACAACAGCACACCACAGCAACAACACCACAACACAAACCACAACGAACGCCACCTCATAAAGTTGACCTGCCAATGAAATTTCCGAGCGAGCAGCCCATTCTAACCTTCATCTCCACATGCAACCTCCACTCGTCCCTCGTCCAGCCGATGCAGAAAGTCAACAGATCGTACCCCTTCAGTCCGAGGTGGTCGACCCATGAAATGGTTACCAGACTTAGGTTGTCTGTTTTGTTTGTGTATGTGTCTGTATTTTTTTTTTTTGTGTGTGTGGTGTGTTTGTTTGTGTGTGTATTGTTGAATCTATACTTTATTATGCTTTGTTTCGTTTATGCCTTGCTTAGTTTAACTTGTGATTTATCTTTTCACTTTGGGTTTAGGGTGAGCCATACAAGCTCGTAAGAGCTTCTGGTTTTTTCCAGCTTTGGCTAGATAAACTATCTTTATCTTTTATGTGGTGTGTGTGTGTTTGCGTGGTTTGTTGTGCTTTTGTTTGTGTGTTGTGTTGTGCGTTTTTTTCTTTGCGTGTATGAGGCACTCGGAACCAACTTTCCACAAACTCATCATGGTCTGTCTGTACTACGTAATGGTTTGTATGTGTTATATAATGTATTGTACGTGGACAAACGTCTGTAGCAGCATATAATAGGCAGAAAATCTCGTTGGGTTGAGTTTACCCAATAGCGACTTTTTAGTACCCAAACAAATAAGGAACTGTTATAAAATGAGACTGCAGACAACTGACGTCAGATGTGTTACGCTGTTGCTGTTGTTGTATGAAATATATTTTTATAAAATTAATCCATTACGAATTCTTTCTCAAAAACCATCAGGCAGTACGTTACTGAAAGGCTTCCCGGAGTTGATAGGGATCTCAATGCTCTTTCAACATAATACAACCTTTGGTTCATATCTTTTCTCTCTCTCTCTGTCTCTCTCTCTCTCTCTCTCTCTCTATATATATATATATATCTCTTTCTTTCTTTATCTTTCTCCCTTAGATCCATTTGTTTGTTACTCGAAGTTTTATTGCAATCTCGCCATTCTCAATTTCATCATTTGTAATTCAAATCGTAATTTCAATTGACAAAAATTCATGTTTGCGATATCTGCATAGAAATATATTAATTACACAAACATTTTTATGTAATGATGTATATATTTAAGTGTAATTGTATGTATTTATATGTAGTGTGTACAACACCTGTGTTAATGTGTGTACGTTTTCTATGTACACAAAGGTAGAAATCGTATTAACGAAATCATGCGAGTTTATGTTGCTCTGCTGTGTTGTTAAACGATGTTGAATTGTTTACTTGTTGTCGTTCATTCGTTAAACCTTAATTTTTTTTTTATGTAAAATTCAATATTTGTTTTATTTCTAGATTTTATATTTATAGGCTAAAGTGAACTTAATTCATTCTGTTATTATGTGAACGTTTGCTTGTTCAAATTAGTTTAATTTAAAATTTTCGCAATGATTCTTGTTGACTGGGTTCGTAAATTAATTTCTCTAGAGTTGCATTAAATCTAGCACCACGGTTAAGCACCTACCGGCTAAATAATGGTTATGTATCAAATTATAAAATCATTTGAACAGTTATATTTCCTTGGATTCTTTTCATTTTTTTTGAGTAGTTCTTACTATACATAACATGGAAATGTATGATTTGGTAACAGAAATTTAGACGTTTTAGAATCGATTGAACAGTTAGTTAAGTTATCGCTGATCCCGTAGTTTAGAAAGATCGGTTAAAGATCACGATGAAGGCACGAGAAAGAAGAAAGAGGACTACTCAACTTCCTGAGCATGAAAATATATAATTTGTTATGACATATTCAGACGTTTTGATTCATAGTATCTAGAATTGACCAAATAGCTGTCATTTTATTGGTTACGTCAATGACATTTTTATTTATTAACATTTCGCAATAATGAAATAACTCAAACTGGCCTACTGAGAGGTTTTCAAGTACTTTTTTCAAGTACTAGTACTGTTATCTCAAATGCGAAAGACAAGGGACAGAGAGAACACTAAACAGTAAAACAAAAATTAACTCCTACTTCCAAACAATGAAAAATTCAATCAAGTATGGTAGTTTTCTTAAAATTTTTAGCTATCGATATAATTTAAAAAAATTTGCACTTGAAAAATTTCAAGTACAAATAGTATAATACTAAGTACGAGTACAAGTATTTAGTTTCAAGGACAAGTACTTGAAATTGGTTCTCCAGTAGTACTCGAGTACCACATCACTGCTGATCTAGGACTTTTTTAATGAAATCAGAAAGCCACTTGCTTGCACACCGTTTAGTTTAATATTTGAGTGAACAAGACAAGTTAATCGTACATTTTTTACTTAAAAAAATAGACAGGCTATAGATTTTTTAACATTAGTGAAAATGATAAATTAAAATTGGTGTGTGTGTGTATGTAATGTAGAAGTGTGTTTGTATGTGTAGTATGAAAATTAATAATTGATTTATTGATGCAATAAAAAAAAAGCTAATAAGAAACAAGCGGTACCTTTTAAATTTAAATGGAACCTTTGATGAAAAACAAGTGGCACCTTTTAAATGGAACCTTTGATAAGAAACAAGAGGCACCTTTTGAATGGAACCTTCAATGAGAAACAAGTGGTACCTTTTAAATGGAACTTTTGATGAGAAACAAACTTTTAAAATGGAACCTTTAATGAGAAACAAGTGGTACCTTTTAAATGGAACCTTTAAAACCTTCCATATTTTTCTATCGTATCGAACTTGGAAGCTCCGCAGCGCAAAACTTTTTTAACTTCAAAGAAAACTTTTGTAAACAAAGTTTTGCACTTTTTGAGAAACAGTCGATCGAGTTTTATTACATAATTTCAATTTAATTTATTTTGATTAAATTTATTTAAATTTTATTCAATATAATCATTTTATTTTATATCTCATTTATTTAAGTATTATTAATTGCAATTTGATTTGTTTTTCACTCTTGTTTTTCTCTTTTCTGAATAAAAAAGTCAATTAACTTTAATTTTTAAAAATAATTTAATTTTAAATTTTTAATTAATTAACTTATATTAAATTAATTAAATTTTTATTTAACTAATTGAATTTGATTAAAAAAATGTTGGTTTGGTTTTATAAAATAATTTTTTGGAAAAAACCTGGTCATGAAGTTCACAATTGACTGAAATGACTATCATGATATAAATGAATAATATTTATTGAATTAAATAAATTATATAAGAATTATTCAATAATATTAAACACACAATACTAATTAATTCCTAAAAAAATTATAATTGTTGAATTTTTAATGAGTAATGTTAATGTGGAATGTCTTGCAAGAACACTTACTTAGAATAACAAACAATTTAATTATTTAAAAAATAAAATGTTCTCTCCAGTGCTATTTTTAGTTTGTTGGCTGGTTGTCGACGTCTGCCCTCATTCGTCATGCCCTAAGAAGTGCACTTGCCACCAGCAGCACATTCAACAAAATGACATTCATGTCAACGACAACAACTTGCTAATGAAACGCAGTGGCAGCTATGCAAACAATAACATTCTAGATAACAACAATAATAATTACAACAACAATAACCTGAAAGTTATTACCAACAACAATGTGAATGCATTGACCTACCAAGAAGTCCCAGCAGAAATACAACTAACCACCTTGACAAGAGTCATCTGTGTCTCAATTAATATGAGCTCTGTCAGTAGGAAGTTCGCTGGTTCAATTCCTCCCACTGGCCACTAAACTGTCAGTTCATCTGCATTTTTGTTTGCTCGTTCTCATTTTTGCTGCTTGCTCGTTCTCAATTNTGTTTGTTCGTTCTCATTTTTGTTTGCTCGTTCTGTTTGCTCGTTCTCATTTTTTGTCATTTGTTGTCATGTTCAATGAAACACTTGTCATTTTCAATTTAATCTTTTTTAGGAGAATGTTGCTATTAGCATTAGTTGAAATTGGTTTCTATGGTTGGGTCTTATGGGGTGGTAGATTTTGATGAATGAATGAATAGATGAATAAATAAATGAATGAATGGATGGATGGATGTAAGTGAATGAATGAATGAATAAATGGATGAATGATTGAATGAATGGATTTAAATGAATGATTGAAGGAATAAAAATAAATAGACCAATAAATGAATGGATTTAAATGAATGATTGAATGAATGAATGAATGAAAATAAATAGACCAAAACATGAAGTAGAATTTTTTTCAAAATATTATAGCAATAAATAATAAAGTAGATGAGGTGGAATACTGAGGCACTGCTATAATTATCCTCTGATGGATATTTATAGTGCAGAATGGGAGTAAAGTGCCAGGTAGGGATTTATTGATAACTGTTCTCGCTGGGCATTGGTGGTCTGACCAGCATCTGCAACAAGGGGCATGAAATGACGTGATGATGTAAATCTAATGATGAGGACGACGACGATGATGATGATGATGATGACGATGATGATGATGATGTTGACGAAGATGAAGATGATTCTCATCATCATCATCTTGATGATGATGATGATGAGAAATTTTGATGGCTGGCTGTGTAGTAGTAAAGTGTGTTGGTTCAGTGCTGTTGCTGGCTGTTATTTAGTTCACTGAAGATTGATGGGCCACTCACTAGCTTTATTGGAAAGATGTTTCTAGATATGTACAATACCTCCTTTGCACGTGCACACACACACACACACACACACGTTTCTACTAGGTTATCCATTTAAAATATATTATATATTATATATATATACAGATATATATAATATATATATATATATATATATATTATATATATATAAAATATATTATATATATACAGAGCATTTAAACCAATTTGTTGGTTTGCTAGTAGGTCAAGTTCTCCTGATATAAATACTGGATAACAAGTTGTCTGTGTTTGGTGGTTGTTGTGTGTTGTTGTATTGTTTTTTGTGGTTGTTGTAGTGGGGTGTGTTGTGGCTGTGGCTGTTGTGTGGCTGTTGTTGTAGCGTGCGTGGTTATGGATTGTTAGTGTGTGGTTGTGTGTGTGTTATTGAGATATATTGTTGTAACTTTGGCATGTAGCCATGATGTACTGTGTTCTTTGTATATAGTTGTTGATGATCTTGTTGTTTCTGTTGTTTTTGTTGTTGTTGTTGTTGTTGTTGTTGTTGATGATGATGCAGATGTGTTGGTGTGTGATAATGGATTTGTGTTGTTGTCGTCATTGAAATGCCATTGGTGTTTCCTTCTTTATGTTTTTCAAGTGTTGTTGTTCTGTTAATGCAACTGATGTGTCGGTTGGTTGATGATAGCTGACGATGACTCCACCATCTATAATTCAGACATGGGTTAGGTAAGATTAGGAGTGAATTTCTCAAGTGGCGTGTAACATTTTTTTTCAAGATTATTTTTTCGTGTAAGCCTTAACGCGAAGTTAACGAAAAGTTTACCATAAACAATATGTAACATGACAAGCCTGATGGTGAACATGGCATGATGAACGTAAAGATGGATATAACATGACGAACTTGATGGTGAACATGACATGATGAACGTGATGATGAACATGACACGATAAACCTGATGGTGAACATGACATGATGAACATGACACGATGAACCTGATAGTGAACATGACACGATGAACCTGATGATGAACATGACATGATGAACCTCATGATGAGCAAGGCATGATGAACACGGTGATAAACAAAAGGACTGATAATAATGGCGTAATATTGCAAATTATAAAAATTAAGACGACGAAGATGGTGAACATACTGATGTTGAACATGATTACGATGAACATGACATACTTGATGATTACGAACGTGACAGTGAACACAATGATAATAAAAACAATGATGAACATGGTGGTGGTGAACAAGATGATGATGATGATGATGACGAGGATGATGATGATGATGAAGATGGTGAACATGCAGACGAGGCAAGCTGTTGGCGTTTGTATTGACGCAAAATCAATTGAAATATTTATATCAACACATTTACGTTGCTGTTCTCATTGTTTTGATTATGATGATGATGATGACGATGATGATGTTGGTGGTGGTGGTGTCTTTAAATTAGGTGACTTAAAAAATGGTTGTTTCCGATGACGATGATGATGACGATGCTGATGGTCAAAACGACTACAATGTTGTTAATGACGACGATGATGATGAGAATGGCGATGATGATGATGGTGATAAAAATGACGATGATGATGATGATGATGACAGAGACCTGAGTGTGAACAACCTGACGAGTTGGCAGAAGGGGGCATTGAAGAATCTGCTGCATCTCAAGTTTCTGTTAGTTGTAGTTGTTGTTGGTGGTGGTAGTTGTGTTGTTGTTGTTGGTAGTGGTAGTAGTCGTGTTGTAATTGTTGTTAGTGGTGGTAATGGTAGTGGTGGTAGTTGTTGTTGGTAGTGGTGGTAGTGGTGTTGTTGTTGGTGGTGGGGGTGTTGTTGTTGTTATTGTTGTTGTTGGTGGTGGTAGTTGTGTTATTGTTGTTGTTGGTGGTGGTGGTAGTTGTGTTATTGTTGTTGTTGGTGGTGTTGTTATTGTTGGTGGTGGTGGTGTTGTTGTTGATGGTGGTGGTAGTAGTGATGTTGTTTGTTTGTTTGTTTGTCTCATTGTTTGTCAGTCTGTCCGTTCGTTCGTTGGTACATTGTCGTTATTCATGTCTGCGATGTTTTGCTTGTTGTTAAGTTGCATGCATTTGTTAATAATTAATAAAAATTAATAATTATAATTAATAATAATAATAATTATTATTATTATTATTATTCTATTGACATTCTTCAGAGGATCGCACTGGGATTAAATGCTTTGTTGAACTAATAGCATTTTAACTCTCTTCTGAAATCTTTTTCTGGAGCAATTTGCTTCAATCTTGTTGGAAGATCATTCCATACCATGGGCAGAGCAACAACACCTGTCTCCCAGTTTTGTCCAGTTGTTTTGAGCAGTTGTTTTTCACGATAAAAAACGCCTAGCTAGATTAAATAATTATTGATCCAATAGGATAAGGTAAACCTTGTGTTGCTAATGTGAATTGGTTCAGTGTAGATTGCTGCAGAAGAATGTATGTCAACCGTCTTAT